TAGCTGTGTTGTATAAACAAGTTACCCATAGAAAACGTAACTTGTAGTGGAATTACCGTCTATAGAAAACGGGATATCATCACCACATACTATTATAATTCACCAGCTATTCTGCTGGGAATTGTTCTTAAATACATTAGTCTTTGGACTTTACCATCATAAAAACATCTTATATAAATTAACTTAATTATCAATATTAAAGTAGAGTAAATGTGACCCTTCTATCACTTTCTGAAATCTGGACAAAGTAAGCCAGGCGTCAGAGGGAGGAAGGAGGGCAGCCATTGTTGTTTATATTGAGACCAGAGGCTCACACGGGAGCAAATTCGGCTCCTGTTAAATTTACTTGGACGTAGTGTTATGGAACCCAAAGGTGTACCATTGTCAACACGCTGTCTACAATCAAGTTAAGTGTCTATCCGAAACCCGTTATCATTCATTTATGGCCATTAATGTCAGGATATAGGGTTAGCCGGTTAGAACGCGAAATCGGCTCATACTAAAGGTAATTAAGCCAGGTCTTAATGTTCCATGTACTGTATAGTGTTTTCTCTGATATAGCTTGTCATATATAGGATTCTGGCTTCACAGCTAGCGCACTTTTGACAGGTCAAGACGAGGATGCAAGATTATGTGCACCAGTTACTGGGTGATGGAAGCTAACTCAAAGAGGATAATTTGGTGTCTACACCCTAGTTATACCTGGTGGACTAACCTGCTGTACTATAAGATAAGGAACCTCTTCAATGTATGTAGTTACTGTAGTTTGATTGGCTGCATACATATAAACTATTAAACCCCCCCTAATGTGTAGAGGATCGATTTGTGAGATTATGAGATTATTGCAGAAATACAGTCCACTTATCATTATACAAATTGCTATCGAAGTATATAAATTAACGTAAATATAAATTCATATAAATTAAATAAATATAAATCTCACAGGTCGGTTCCCACAGCAGATGTAGAGAAACTAAAGTATTAGATGCCGCCAAGGTTCAGTGACCACCGCAATACCCTGCTTGAGTCCATAACGGAGTTAAAGGAATTGGGTAGACCAAGAAACATGCTGAGGAAGAGATTTTCTGAGTTAGGTTCAGTTGGAGAAGAGAACTGGAAGGGAAGACGACAAACGAGATGGTGGAAGTTATTGTTCAGAAATGTATAGATGCCACGGCGCTGTACGTCCCTCTCAAGAAGGAGGTAGGCGAGAAGGGTAAAGCCTGGGTTCCATAGGCAGCGCAGAAATGGAAAGGAGAGCATAAAAAAGTATGGAAAAGTATCAGTAAAAGTGACCACTTACTCTAACACCCGCCACAGAGTTAGGAACATGGAAAACTGACATGCACTGAAGAGAGCCAGAAATGAATGCATCAGAATCAGGAGAGAAGCCGAGAGACAATTTGGAACCGATATTACAGTAAAAGATAAGGACCAACCAAAGCTCTTTTAAAGCCGTATAAGAGTAAAAACAACGGTAAGAGACCATGTGATCAGGTCAAAGAGACAACGGGGAAGTTTCACAGAAAATGACAAGAATGTGTGAGTGAAGAACTCAACAAAGATTTCAGGTGGTCTTTTCAGAGGAATCAACATAGTGTCCAGAGTTGAGTTATCAAAGTGGACCTGAGGAAACACTAGATGACATAGTAGTCATTGTGGAAGAGATGGAATTAACACCTGAAGGAACTAAATGCAACTGAGAATAAACTTTGAAACAAAACGGCAGCTTGGATTTAAAAGCGGAAGTCGTACCTGTTAAACTTGATCGAGCTCCAAGACAAGTTTACTAAAATACAAGGAAAAGGAAAACTGGGTAGATCGCATTTTTCCTAGACTGTCAAAAAGCATTTGATATTGTTCCTCACGATAGACTGTCGTACAAGACGGAGAGGCAAGCTGGGATACTTGGGAAAACACTAAAGTGGACAAAGGAGTGGGTGAAGGATGGAAGACTATCACAGCCAGAGGCGAGTTCTCCAGCTGGCGGAGTGTAACACGTAATATGACGTCCCCGAAGACTCGGTTCTGGCGGGAAGTGTGCTCGTACTTGCCAATGTTTGTAGAAAATGTAAAACTAATGAGGAATGTTAAAGCAAAGGAGGACTGCAGAACGTCACAGGAAGACCTTGACAAATTCCAAGAGTGTAACAAAAACGGGATGCTGGAGTTCAGCCCTAAAGGTAAGGTAATGAAGACGGAAGAAGGAAGTGTAAGAGCAAGTGTAAGGAAGGTGTAAGGAAGAAGAGCAAGTGTCTACACCATAAATAGAGGGCCATAAACAGTGAATAGAAGAGAGAGAAAGATCTGGGAGTGGATATAATTCCAACAGTACCTCAGAGGCACTCATAAGCTGGTTGACATGGGCAGCATAAGGGACGCAGGTGAACATTAGAACGTCGTTTAGAAACCTATATCAGGACGCTTTCAAGGCAATCTACACAGCTTTTGGTAGACCAATAATGGAATATGAAGCACCAACCTTGAATGCCTCTCGAATCATAAAACTAAAACTAAAAAGCGCAGCAGAAGTTTGCAACTAGATTAGTTCCATAGGTCAGAGGGCTAATCTATAAGGATAAGCCGAAGGAACTGGATCTCACAATTCTGGAGGACAGAAGAAACAGAGGAGATATAATCACAACATACAAGATGCTGAGAGGATAGACAGAGTAGAGTCCTCATCTACTCCAACCCCAACCCACATACACTGAATGGTGTTGTTAATAATGAACTAAAAAAAGTCCACTTATGGATGTCAACCAACAAACTAACACTTAACATAGAAAAGACCTACTATATCCTATTCGGAAGTAAATCTACAAATGCAATTCAGCTTCAGATTGACAATGTAAACATTAGCAATAAAAATGATGGGAAGTTTCTTGGCATATTCCTAGACAAGAGGCTCAACTTCAGTACCCACATACAACACATAACTAAGAAAGTCTCTAAAACAGTTGTATACTCTCCAAAATCAGATATTATGTTCCTAACTCTGCTCTCATCTCTCTATATTATGCACTAATCTATCCCTATCTCAACTATGGTATCTGTGCATGGGGTTCAACCACTGCAAACCACCTCAAGTCCATCATCGCCCAGCAAAAATCTGCTATCAGAATAATATCAAATTCTGCTTTCAGACAACACTCAGCCCCCTTGTTTAACTCCCTAAACATGCTAAACATAATCTCACTCCATAAATTCTCTTGTGTCAACTACATTTACAAAACCCTGTTCTTAAATGTAAATCCTTGTCTGAAACTATTCTTGGACAGATGTAATAGGACCCATTATCACCACACCAGAAATAAATATCTCTTTGATATCCCCAGAGTTAAACTTAATCTGTGTAAACACTCTATGCAAATAAAGGGACCCAGTTTATGGAACTCACTCCCTACTGAATTGAAAAGCTGTCCAACTTTTACATCATTCAAAATCAATACTAAAAAGTACCTAATTTCATCTTCATAGTTTTTCACTTTTTGCCTTAAAATTGCACTGTATCAATTGCTACCCAATCTCCCAACCTTTATGTTCCCAATTTGAACAACTTTACCATTGTGATCATTGCTGTCTTCTTATATGTGCTGCCAATCTGTTGTATGGTGTTTATAAATCTTGTTTATCTGTATCTTTTGCTACCCAGTCTCCCAATCTTTATGTACCCAATCTGAACATCTTTACCATTGTGATCATTGCTGTCTTATATGTGCTGTCAATCTGCTGTATAGTGTCTATTAACCTTGTTTAAATTACTAATCAAGCTGTCAATGTAATCAATCAGAGCTTTAATATAATAATGTGCTTCAATATACCTACTTATCTCTCTCATCTCATTTTTCTCTTGTAATGTATCTTTATCATTTATCAATTCTGATTGAAATTACCTACTTAAATTTATCTGCTAGATTAAGGACCTGCCCGAAACGCTGTGCGTACTAGTGGCTTTACAAGAATGTAAATACTGTACTATCCAATGTATTCTCACAAACCAATGTACCTTCTTGTGTATATATATAAATAAATAAATAAATAAATAAATAAATAAATAAATAAATAAATAAATAAATAAATAAATAAATAAATAAATAAATAGAGAAGGACAGCCTCTTTAAATTTGAGAGAAAGTAGGATAAGAGGACACATGTGGATGCTGGAAAAACAAGTGTCGAGGAAACGTTAGGAAATACGTATACCCAGTATGGGGGGGGGGGGTATACAAGTATACCCAGTATGGGGGGGGGTATACAAGTATACCCAGTATGGGGGGGGGTATACAAGTATACCCAGTATGGGGGGGGGGTATACAAGTATACCCAGTATGGGGGGGGGGTATACAAGTATACCCAGTATGGGGGGGGGTATACAAGTATACCCAGTATGGGGGGGGGTATACAAGTATACCCAGTATGGGGGGGGTTATACAAATATACTCAGTATGGGGGGGTATACAAGTGGAACGCACTGAGAGAAGTTGTGAAAGCCACCTCCATCCACAACGTTAAGGCCAGATTCAACAAGGAATTTGAACGCCAGAATAGTTAAGATGTAACACAACAGCTATAATGAGACTGGTGGAGGGGAGGTGGGGGGCGCAAAGAGCTACCCCTCATTCCCTGGGAGTCACTGTTTGGTCAACACCATCCATGGTTTACATTGTAAGCGATGAATGGTGTTGTTATTCAGTGAGTGGTAATTGTTATTCAATAACGTGTTTTTATTCAGTGAGTGGTAAATAATGTAAGCCTTACACCATTTACTACTCACCCCACCACCCACCACTCACCACTAACAACAACACCACCACCTACCACTAACAACAACACCACCACCCACCACTAACAACAACACCACCACCCACCACTAACACCACCACCACCCACCACTAACACCACCACCACCCACCACTAACACCACCACCACCCACCACCACCCACCACTAACACCACCACCACCCGCCACCACCCACCACTAACACCACTACCACCCACCTGCCAGGGCCCTAGATGGGTCTTGCGGTACTTGATGAGGAACTCGGTGATGGGGTAGTAGCTCTCAGTCTGCCAGGTGAGAGTGTACCTGGTGCCCTCACCACCGTTGGGGCTGCTGGTGACCTGGGGCGGCTTGGGCAGCCCTGGGGGGAGGAAGAGCTGGCTTAACAGTCATGTCTGGTAAAGACACAGAGTGAGAGGTGGCTTGGGGAGCCGCGGGGAGCCGCCCGGGAACACATGGGGTACCCGGGCACCACCGGGTACCTCATCTAGTATATATATGAGGATATTGATGCCAGTGGTGAGCAGGAGACAACAATAGGTGTGTTATGGAGGCACGCTGTGTGACTGAAGGTTTAGTTGGTCGGTACATCCAGGTTGTGTTCTCACAGCCAAGTGGTGATCAGCTGTCTTGCTGATCAAGTAGTGACTGTTGCAATATTGTATCTTAGGCCTACCCTATTTCAGCATAGTCTTAAGCCTATCTTACTCCCACATGCAAGCTACCGTAGGCCACATCTCGCATACAAAGTATCTTAGATCTGCCCTACAGCTACATAGAAGACATATAACTAGGCCTAACCTATTCCCACATGCAACGAATCTTAGGCCTATCCTACTGCTGCATTCAAGGCAACTTAGGTCTATCGTACTCCGGCATACAAGGTGGCATGTTCCCTTCGTGGGCTTGCTAAGATCAGAACATACTCCTCCTCATACCTCTTACCTCAGGCAGTATGTGTGCTCGTATGAGCATACTTATACACTGAACCTTGTCTTTATAATTCATTGTACATGTGTATATTGTCCCAATACTGTTCGCTACTGCTCTTGTCAGTTAATATGTAAGTTAAAGGGCGTACACCAGCAGGAGGTCCGCCTGGACTTGTCAATAATTATAGCATTAATTTTGCAATGTACTTCATGTAGTTTGAGGCAATTATATAGTTTGAGTGTTAATTCCATGTTATATTTATGATGTTCACCCTTGTTAACTCTACAACATATCTCATTTTAATTATTTACATTTTAGTTTAAAGTTAAAAGGTATCATTCTAGAGAATGAAGTATGCAAGCCTTTGCATCTGATCGAGTCTCTGAAGCATGCAACCCAAAGGAGATTTGTATTTATTTTATATTTGCAGGGATATTCCTGCGCGGGCGCTACGCCTCTGGCTGGCCCAGTCTTACTCCCTTCTGTCTTACTTAAGCGGTGTGTGAGTATTTATGACTCGTATGGTCGCTTCAGTAAGATTATGCTCCATGTGTTTAACAACTTCTTCCGCTCTATTAAATCTCAGTTGAAATCTGATTTGGTTTGTAACTGTGCACTGTGTTAGATAATATTCCAGTGGTGTGTCGGGCGTCTCTACAGTGCTGACATTTCCTCTCATCTTCTGGAACCTGTAAGCCTATCTCCCATGCACATGGGTATGCACATGCCTGATGCGATGTAAGTGCAAGTCTTCAATTGTTCTCAATTATCAAAATGGTTCATTGTTGGTTGAAATCCTGTACCATCGGGCAGATCACGATTTTACAGCTACTGCGTTATTGTCCCTGAACATCATTGTGCAATGCAGGCGATGAGTCACAATAACGTGGCTGAAGGATGTTGACCAGACCACACACTAGAAATTGAAGGGACGACGACGTTTCGGTCCGTCCTGGACCATTCTCAAGTCGATTGTCTTGACAATCGACTTGAGAATGGTCCAGGACGGACCGAAACGTCGTCGTCCCTTCAATTTCTAGTGTGTGGTCTGGTCAACATCATTGTGCAATGCTCTAGCTCTATATATATTCTCTTAATCTGCACCAGACTCTGTACCATCTAAATGTCTACATTCCTCTTCTTAGTTACAAGTTTTGATGCTTCATCTGCCATGTTATTCCCTAGTATTCCTACACGAGTTGGCACCCAGTTGACAAGTGTCGGATGACCCTGAGGTTTGAGTGTTCACATTAGTGTTGCAACATTTGTGGTCAGATGGATGTTGTCACGTTAGAACTTTTCTTGCAAGCTTTCAATGGTAGCTTTTGATTCTTTGTGCGATGACGTATCATTGATGTGCCACAAAAGCGCGTTCCGAACCCTTGTGAACGGCTAGCATCTCTGCTTGTAGAGTTGAGAACCCATTTAAGTCTCTTCGACTAACTGTAGATTTTCTTCCTTAACTGTAGATCCGTAGTACTTGAATATGTCCCAGAGGCACAGAGCACCTGGGATGTGGTAGATGAGTGTCCCAGGGGCACAGAGCACCTGGGATGTGGTAGATGAGTGTCCCAGGGGGCACAGAGCACCTGGGATGTGGTAGATGAGTGTCCCAGAGGCACAGGGCACCAGGGATGTGGTAGATGAGTGTCCCAGAGGCACAGAGCACCTGGGATGTGGTAGGTGAGTGTCCCAGGGGCACAGAGCACCTGGGATGTGGTAGATGAGTGTCCCAGAGGCACAGATCACCTGGGATGTGGTAGATGAGTGTCCCAGGGGCACAGAACACCTGGGCGGGAGGAAGCTGGCATTCCGCCTATGGACAGCAGAGCTAAATAAATTCGTCTCAAGTATTTTCATGTGATGGGACAATATTGAAATATAATTATATATTTTATATAAAATAAAGTATAAATGTCAGTTTTCACAGAGATAGTAACTTTTTTTTATAAAAAATATATGCATATATTTGTATAAAATTTGTATATATATGGAAAATAAGAAAACACTGAAACAGACATGCCATGTGCAAAAGCAAATGTACACCATACGCCTAAGCAGCGCGCGCGAAACACACACACACACACACACACACACACACACACACACACACACACACACACACACACACACACACACACACACACACACACACGCACACGCACACGCACACGCACGCGCACGCACACACACACACACACACACACACACACACACACACACACACACACACACACACACACACACACACACACACACACACACACACACGCACGCGCGCACACACGCACGCGCACACACACACACACACACGCACACACACACACACACACACACACACACACACACACACACACACACACACACACACACACGCACGCACGCACGCACACACACACACACACACACACACGCACGCGCACGCATACACTAAGCAGCAAATTTGTCTCATCAGTTCATGTGTGATATAGAGGATGTAGCTGTTAGCTGTGAAGCATTCTTGTGGCTCGGACAAATACAACTGTTACCTGGACAAAGGGACGCCACACTTGTCCGTTGCTATACACACACCTGTCATCTGTATCACCGCTTCTTTCTGTCCGTGAGTGTTCCTGGCTATACAAATGTACGCCCCGAAATCCTTCTCAGTGACTCGGTCCACGACGAGGACATGTCTGTGGGCGGCGTGGGCGAGGCTGAGGTGGGCGGTGTGGAAGTCTTGCGATCTGTTGTGGTGTCCCAGCAGGTGGAACTTGGTGTCCATGTTGGTGTAGGGCAGCGGGTGGCCGTCACGCGTCCAGAACACGTCCGGGACCGGCTGACCTCTCACCACACACGCCAGCTCCACCCGGTCACCCTCTCCACTTCGTACGATCCCCTGAGAAAAAAGGAGAGAGAGAGAGAGAGAGAGAGAGAGAGAGAGAGAGAGAGAGAGAGAGAGAGAGAGAGAGAGAGAGAGAGAGAGAGAGAGAGAATTAATTTATTATTTATCAATTTGTGTTGGTTGAAGCATGTGATAAATATGGCGGGTGATTACACTGGTCTACAGCCAAAATGCTTCTGAAACAAATTAAGTGAATACTGACTGATTCTGGATCACTGAGAACTGATTCTGAGTCACTGGGTCTACTTAAAATTGTTGAGTAGCTCTTATTTTCATCCAAGATGAGTCTTAAAGCTGTTTCGCTGCTGGGAGTATTTTGCCATCAATGCCATTGGGGTATTTCAGTCCATATGATGGAAACTTACGACACGAAGCAGCTTTTGAGGTACATAAACAATGACCAACATCAGTGGCAGCTCTGTGGGGACTTGAAGGGTGTGTTGCTCTTGTGATGGTCTGCAGGGAGATGTGTTATGCTAGAATTACCCGGTATTATGGCTGGTAATATGGCAGGACATAGTGTCAGGTGTTGTGGGTCTCGGGTCTGCAGGGAGGATACAGAAATTTTTGCTGTTTTTTTGTTCATTGTGAGTGGGATAGTCGCGCGCGAGAGTCCCACCAAGTTGTGAGAGACTGGCTACTCCAGCCATCATTGGAGTCTTCTTGAGGTTATCTTGAGATGATTTCGGGGCTTTAGTGTCCCCGCGGCCCGGTCCTCGACCAGGCCTCCACCCCCAGGAAGCAGCCCGTGACAGCTGACTAACACCCAGGTACCTATTTTACTGCTAGGTAACAGGGGCATAGGGTGAAAGAAACTCTGCCCATTGTTTCTCGCCTGGGATCGAACCCGGGACCACAGGATACAAGTCCAGCGTGCTGTCCGCTCGGCCGACCGGCTCCCGGGGTCTGGGTGCCTGGGTGCCTGAGCCTGGGTGAAAAACGTCCACCATCTACCACTTGTTGAATAATGCAAGATTTTGTTTATCTCCCTCACACATAAAACAATAGCTAATCAGCAATTGTAATTATTATATTTGGATTCAGCATATCTCATTGCATGATCAACATAAAGTCTTTTTCATTTGTGCTCTTTTTTCATTTCTGCGCGAAACGCTATGTGGCTTTACAAGAATGTAAACACATCAATGCCATGTGCTCTCAAACCCAATGTATCTTCTTGTATAAATAAATAAATAAATAAATTGGCAGTGCAGTCCACGTGGCGCAGTGGTAAGACACTCGCCCCGTGCTTCGCGGGCGATTTGGCGTCGGTTCATATCCTGTCTGGGGAGGATTGACTAGGCGCCAATCCTTAACTGTACGCCTCTGTTCACCCAGCAGTGACTGAGTACCTGGTTGTTAAACAATATGACGGGTGGCATTCCAGGGAAAATATTAAGATGAAGGACCTGCCCGAAACGCTATGCGTGTTAGTGGCTTCACAAAAATGTAAAAACTCCTGTATATATAAATAAAAAATTAAATAAATAAAACAATTCAGAAGCAGACAACGTCTGACCAACTGTTGACCAGTTTTATGGATAATGAATATTTTGTTTTAATGATGAATTATTGAGGAGGCAAGTAAGAGAAGAGCTGGACAATGCCAGCCACGACCTGTACGTGACCTGTGAGGTGCCCCAGAGACTGACCTTCTCAGCCGTGACCTCCGGCGGGTACTCCACAGTGATGGTCATGGCGGTGGAGGCCGCCTCCCCGATGCCGTTGTCGGCGCTGCAGAGGTAGGTGCCGTCCATGCCCAGGTCCAGCCCCTCCAGGCGCAGTGAGCGCCCCTGCAGGAGACGCCACACACCAGTCAACGGCCGCAACAGTCACCAGACGACCACAGTGGCCAGACGACAACAGTCGAGTGTCAATATTATCTCCCCCCCCCCCAGGCCTGTGCTGTTGTCTTTAGTCTCCCACTTTTGTCGCTTTTCAGTGTTGTATTAGTTGTTGATAAGTGTACCGTTATCATCAGATGGTAAGTGTACCCATTATCATCATATGGTAAGTACACCATCATCATAAGATGGTAAGTACACCATCATCATAAGATGGTAAGTACACCATCATCATAAGATGGTAAGTCAACCCATCATCATAAGATGAAGAAGATCAAGTAGAATTCCTTCAAAATTAACTTTAAATAATCCAGTGATCTCAAGAGTTAATCGAAAGATACCCTGAAATCTTTCAGATCTTCTGGCCTAGGAAAATTCATTAGAACCATTGTGTGAGTGGGCTTTAGTTTGATAAGGCTGGCCGTACCTGACTCTCAACGCATCTACTGTGGATACATAACTAGCATCTTCCGTGATAACTCCTAACCGAGTGCTAGCTTGGCTTCACCTGTTCTTTTAAGTCAAAAGTGGTTTCAGCGTGAGATAAATTAACCCTTGGATGAATAGATTTATTCCTTATGTCCTATAATCCAGTCCATTTTGTGAAGCCACCAGTAAAATTTGGCCACTTTTAGGTCAACTTTTCCTGGGCCAGTATGTGTTGGCGCTGTTGTTACTGCTGGTTGACCGATGAAAAACCTTGTGTATGTATTATTGTATTACACAACATCAGTTCAACTTCTGCAGCATATTGACTATCAGTCATCAGTTGTATGAGATTTGACATTATATATATATATATATATATATATATATATATATATATATATATATATATATATATGTCGTACCTAATAGCCAGAACGCACTTCTCAGCCTACTATTCAAGGCCCGATTTGCCTAATAAGCCAAGTTTTCATGAATTAATGTTTTTTTTCGTCTACCTAACCTACCTAACCTAACCTAACCTAGCTTTTTTTGGCTACCTTATCTAACCTTACCTATAAATATAGGTTAGGTTAGGTTAGGTAGGGTTGGTTAGGTTCGGTCATATATCTACGTTAATTTTAACTCCAATAAAAAAAAATTGACCTCATACATAGAGAAAAGGGTTGCTTTATCATTTCATAAGAAAAAAATTATAGTAATATATTAATTCAGGAAAACTTGGTTTATTAGGCAAATCGGGCCTTGAATAGTAGGCTGAGAAGTGAGTTCTGGCTACTAGGTACGACATATATATATATATATATATATATATATATATATATATATATATATATATATATATATATATATATATATATATATATATATATATATATATATGCTAAAAATCTGCCTGATGGTAGCGTCCTAAGAAAACAGCTATAGCATTAATTAGGTATGTAAGTTGCTGCTAAAGTTTAATCTACTTTGGGTCTATGTTTGATTCTAGAACTTAAGTTCAGACCAATTTATAAGTATTGGGTTCGAAGGACCAATTTGTGGACACCGCTGGTATGGTAGTGCAACCCGCTCTCTGGATCTGTCACTCTGTAAAAAGAAACGTACGAACCCAAGTAACCCACTTAACCTATCGAGTCCAATGCATGGAAATCGGTGATATTTGTGAGCTGTCGTTTGTCACTGTAGACTGCACTAGTAACATTAGTTACCACAATGTAAAAAATGCATCCTATTAGTTGAGCAGAGAGTTTGCCAGGGGGCAGTGAGAGGGTCTACCAGACACAACAGGAAGGAAAGATTCCATGGAGCAAAATTAAGGAGGACACTGCCTGTGGTAATGTGGTGGCTTGCCTCATAACTATCTCTGAATTCTCTTTTAATTTTAGTCAAAGCACTGTACAACAGATGACAGTGTTGTCATACAGTGCTTGTAACAAACACAACACACAGATGGCACTGCTGTTGTACAGCACATAAGTAATTTTTTTAATGTTCAAGGCAAATTCCTCATTTTTTGATATTAAAGATATTTAGGGAATTCGTACAAAATTAATACAAATAGAAATATAGGCCAAATAGTGGTCATAAGTAAATAAATACCAATTTATGTTATCGTCCATAAGTTTCCATAATTGCTATAGTTGATTGTGATAATTTATTTGATTTATTTATCGAAATTGTAACAGATATCACAATTTCCAGCTACAACAATTGAAATACAAATGTAAATATATATTGTCTATTGTTTATGTGTGACTATGAGGCTCTTGCTTCGAAAAAAAGGCAATTGGTTTAACGCATAACAATGGAAATCTGCAAATATTTTAAAGGACGTTAAAAATTTGAACTTATTTAATTATAAACTATATTAAACTCGACGAGCTAATAAATGTCATCACCAAAATCCCGTGAGCAAACATAAGTTACGACACTTACATGCATAAAAGAGGACCACCAACGAGAGTCGTCAGAGTGAATAACTTTAACTTCCAACCAAGTTGTTTAAATTATAACTAATACAGTTATCATGTTTCGTCAGTTTAATAAATTACACTGCGTATTTATGCTACATAATCTTCCCAGCGTGGCGTCTTTTTTTTTAATTACTTGCTTACTTTGTGTATTTATCATATAAATACACAAAAGCAAGATATCTTTGTGTATTCACAAAGTAAAATACCATAGGAGCAGTGCGTATGAGCACACATGCACTAAAATGTTTAGCTGCTCAACACAACCCACACCGACGCAGCTGTGAGACACACACTGACCTGTTGTGTACGGTGACCGGAGGGTAGAGGACCCTCCTGACGGGACCAGCGGATGATGGGCTGTGGGTTGCCCTGAGCCTCACACTCGAGGGTGACGGTGGTGCCCTTGGTGACGTGTTGCTCAGGCGGGGCCAGGGACCTGATGGTGGGGGCGAACTGGACGTTCAGGGTGTGTCTTAGCTGCACAGGCTGCTCCATCTCGAACATGCAGAGGAAGGTGCCGGCGTCTCGGGGCTGGACGTTGGAAAGGTTGAGACGGAAGCCGTCCACGGTGATGCGGTGGTCCTGTGTCACTCTCTCGCTCCCAACCCATATCAACTTCTCCTTTCCGCCGTTGGGAGGGATTTTTTTGATAATAAGCTTGTTGGTGCCTGCAATAGGTACAAGACTGAAGTGACCCTGGCTAGGTTCGTAGGCCACGTTTCGCCTGATATATAACCACTTTGATAGAATCTATATATTTTGTCAAGAATCCAAAAATGTTTAATTCAAAGATGATAATGTGAGTCGAAAGAAATGCCTCACAGGAAAAAGGCAAGAACTTTTTTTTCAAACTACGAGCTTACAAGCTCGATGTTACAATGAACTGATCAATCATTGCTTTGTAAGAGCCTCCATTGTAATAGTTCTCTACTTGTCCCACTCTGCCAAGTAACACTGGCGTTCAGCAGGGTAGTATACTTGGTCCACTCCTCTTTCTCATATACATCAATGATCTTGCTAATACAATGCAACATTTGAATACAGTTCTATTTGCTGATGACACAACCTTCATTTTATCATATGCTAACCTACTTATTCTAGACGACCTGATCAATACTGATCCAAATAAAGTCTATTTGTAGTTGACTGCTAACAGACTTACCCTTTTCGTCGACAAGATGTTTTGCATATTGTTTAGTAACAAGTCCAACAATCAAACTAAATTTCCATTGCCATATACAATATATAGGCAAAAAAGTTTCTAAAAAATTGACATTCTCTCCAAAGTCAGGTACTATGTTCCTCGTCCTGCCATAGTTACTCTGTATTATTCATTCATTTATCCACATCTCACCTATGGTATCTGTGTTTGGAGATCCACCATCCTTAATTAACCCTCTACCCCTAATTAGTCAACCAAAAAATCAGCAATTAGAACAATAACGAATTCCAGTCCCAGACACCACTCTGCCTCCTTACTGAAATCTTTGAACATTTTAAATATCAAGTCTCTGTACATACTCTCGAGCATTCTCTATATCTATAAAACTCTGAATTGCAATGCCAGTCCTGAGCATTGCTTCCTTCTCGGAAGCTTAAGCGCTTCCGAGAAGGCTGTAATAGAACTCACGGTCACCACACGAGAAACAAATATCTCTATGATATTCCCGGAGTGAGACTCAACCAAAGCAGAAATGCAATCCAAATCAAGGGGTCCCAAATTGTGGAATGACCTCCCAAATGTAATTAAAAGTTGTACGTTTCTCAACCAGTTTAAAAAGAGAGACAAATAAATATTTACTTAATATCATATAATCAATATCATGTAACTAATTTCACTCACATTTTTCCCTCGTAATAAAATATATTTGTGTTACTCTTATCTTAAATTTGATTTACCAATAATTATATCCTTTCTTCACTGTCATCTAATTATTGTATTTCAATAATAAATTGTTTACTCATGTACTTTACGCTACTTGTTAATTTTTAAGTGTTGGCCCAATTAAACTTAAATTATGCTATTATACTATGATATCCTCTAGATACTTTTCTAAATTATACCTTAGCAGTCAACCCATCCTCCTGTTGTGAAAAGCAATTATATAGTAGAATTTTGTACTCTTCACTTTATAGAGTCCGAAAAAATGAAGCTAAAATGTAAACTTAAATATTCCTAGGCCTAGTATAGCACACATATGTACTATATTAGGCCTCATATAGTGTGTATTAGGCCTAGGAAGGTTCGGTTAGTTTATTTTGTCTTTCCGACATAAATATCAAATCTTTTCCGGTTTGTCCCAATACGATATGTCCAATTTCTAGTTTCTAATTGTGTTGAACGTCGGTATATGTACTATGGTCCTCACCGTCACTATAAGTACTACCAAAATAAGAGGATGGACTGTAGTATTTCCATTCTGTAATTAACGTAAATAAACTACTGTACTGTTGCTAGAACTATACTAACTCCATAATGTTATAGTCTGTGTCTGTCGTCATTATCATCTTTTTTATTGTATTCTTCTGTTATTTTTCATCAACTTTCTCAATTTCTTTTAGCTTACTTCTCCTTTAGCATTAAGTGTTTATCCCCATCACCCCCAAGTGGGCATGTGAAGACAAGCTTTCACATGCCCACTTGGGGACTGTCACCCCCAAAGAGCTCAGTATCTATCTTGAGGTTATCTTGAGATGATTTCGGGGCTTTTAGTGTCCCCGCGGCCCGGTCCTCGACCAGGCCTCCACCCCCAGGAAGCAGCCCGTGACAGCTGACTAGCACCCAGGTACCTATTTTACTGCTAGGTAACAGGGGCATAGGGTGAAAGAAACTCTGCTCATTATTTCTCGCCGGCGCCTGGGATCGAATCCAGGACCACAGGATCACAAGTCCAGTGTGCTGTCCGCTCGGCTCCCTACCAGTATACCACCTATACGACCGACCAGTATATAGGCAAAACAACAACATCTCTTTCTAGGCGATTAACAATGCACAAACAACAGGGCTCCATCAAGGAACATACAATCTCCTCTCACAACCAGACCATCACCAGAGAAATCTTAACAAGCAACACATTGATAAATACAGCGATAGCAGGAGACTCGACATCAGCAAGGTCTTACACATCAAAAAGTCAACACCAGCAATCAACAGCCAATTAACACATAATTATATTTTACCCACTTCAAGACCCCGAACCAACATAGAAGCAGCAAGAGAAAATATGGGCCAATAGGCCTTCTGTAGTTACTTTCATTCTTATGTTCTCATGTGCAATTTATACCAATTGGTTCGTTTTCTATCTTTTGTCACCTCACCCAAAAACATTTGTGTCATATCACCTCACCCAAAACGAATATAAGCATGAAATGATATGTGTAAATTAGTCTTTGAAAATGTGAGAAGCCCTTGCGAAACGCTTTTAGGCGTCAGACCATAAATAAAAAAATGAGAAAATGAACTTTAGAGAACTTTAGTTAATTTTTCAATTACCCTCGACAGTGAAGAAAAACGTAATAAATATTGAGAAGATTCGTGTTAGAATCATGAATCTTACCCTTTCGGTCATTTTCAACACCATATATATCTATATAAATAAAAAGTGAAATGTTCGTTTGTTCAAAATCGCTAATCTCCGAAAGTTCTCCACCGATTGTTTTGAAATTTACACACAATGTAGCATTCACATCCGAGCAGGTTTTTATATACATACTACATTGATGTCACGTCTGTGACTGAAAAAAACATGTTTTTTTTTTTAACTTTTTTTTCATGCATTTTTCATGTGAGAGAAATCTTCGAAACCTCTTTACCGATTGCTTTGAAATTTTGACACGACGTTGCATTCGAGTAGGCGCGTCTTTTTATATACCTACTATATACATGCATCACCTGTGACAGGAAAAAACATGTTAAAAAAAAAAAAACAGCGCCATCTGTGGGACGTAAGAGCAACACACGCTGTAACCTCCCAAAGTTCTTCACCGATTGCTTTGAAATTCTGACACAATGTTCCATTCGAATATGCGCATCTTTTTATATACCTACTATATAGATGCCACACCTGTCACAAATAAAAACATGTTTTTTCAGAAAGAGCGCCATCTGTTGCATGTATTAGCAACACACACGCAATACTAAATATGTTACGAATTCCATTTCAATATTTCCGATTGCGTTGATATATTTAATTTTCATAGATTTCGATTTGTTTAATTTTTATTGAATTATTTTGTGTGACAGTGTGTTGGAATTGAGCTGTGTTTTGTTTACCATACCGTTCATTTCATAAGTATAACTATAGATGCCACACCTGTGACAGGTAAAAACATTATTTTTTTTTTAAACAGCACCATCTGTTGTACGTAAAAGCAACTCACGCTATACTAAATGTGTTTCGATTCCATTTCAATGTTTCTGATTTCATTGATAAATAGAATTTTCATAGATTTCGAATTATTTTCATTTTGATTTAATTATTTTGTGTGACATTGCGTTGGAATTGAGCTTTGTTGTTTACCATACCATTTATTTCCTGAGTGAAGTTTATTTATTTTTTTCATTGTTTTTCATTTCGTTTTATAATTGTTTTTCCTATATTTCAGTGATGGGAACATCAGATCATTTGATGTTCACAATTTTCTGATGGGAACATCAGATCATTTGGGAATGCATCGGACGAGGGAGTGGGGAATGGTGGGGAGGACGAGAGGAAGGGGGAGGGGGTAACGGTTGGGAGGACGAGGGGACGGGGGAGTATATATATATATATATATATATATATATATATATATATATATATATATATATATATATATATATATATATATATATATATATATATATATATATATATATTCGACTACTGAGACTCAGTACCTGGGCTCTGTCTCTAACGCTTTTAAACTATCGCTTACGAGGCACAAAGACTTCCTTCCATCATATCCAGATGTGAATGAAATTGGCTTCCTCTACCCTTCGTCGGCTGCTTCCTCCGGCTTGCCCTGTAACAAGGCAGCTTAGAACAAGAACTTTAACAAATGTATAAAACAAAAATGTGTAACTAGACAGTGTTCACCACCGTCGAGGAGACCATTAGATATTCGTGATAGCTGTCACTACATTCTTGTCTTGATTAACGGCTTCACCTTCTAATCTGAAGTCCAGTGCAAATTCTGCGTTAGCTTTAAGACTTGCCCGAGACGCCCTGCGTGTTCGTGACTTTGCGTGACTGTACCACTTACTCGCCGACATGTGTGAATTATATGTAATGTCACAACCTAATGTGCATTCTTCTTCATATAAATAAATATACGTATAAATGCTCAGTAAACTACCCAGTAGAATAGATCGTCAGAATATACATTCAAAAGTGTTGGAAACAAGAAAGAGAGGGTTATCGTACTCCACTCCGTCTCCTCGAGAATTCAATTCACATCGTCACTAAACTGATGGACTACGTGCCCTAACCTAACCAAGTCGAGGACCCACCAATAGAAAATGAAATATCACGTCAATTTTGTGGGCCGAGAGAGGAAGTGCTGGTTTAACAGTGAGTTTCCTTAGGAGAGAGAAAGAGAGAGAGAGAGAGAGAGAGAGAGAGAGAGAGAGAGAGAGAGAGAGAGAGAGAGAGAGAGAGAGAGAGAGAGAGAGAGAGAGAGAAAGAGA